CAGAAGCTGTTGCAGCTGATGTTAACTGAATATAAGCTACAAGCTTTTTCTTTTTTTTTTTTTTTTTGAGGCGTGTGAAGTAACATTAGTCAGAAATGAATAGGTTCTTGATAAATTATTGAGATATTCTGAAAAACAGGATGTAATTAAACAGGGAGGAGTGCAAGATACTAGAACACAGACAAAGGAATGGGGAGCAATGATATCAGCCAATGCTGTAGAAGAGGTCCTGGAGGTCATAGTGCATGAGCTTAACAAGTCATTGTGGTCCGAAGGTGAACACTGTGTGAACACGTCTCCCTGCATGTGGGATGCAAGATGTATCAACTAAACATGCTTTGCCTGACATCACTGAGGATTTCTTCTCATTGGGTTTCAGAGCAGAAAACATGGTGGCAGATGAAGACAGTAGGTGAAAAAGTTGTGGTTGTTTAGCCAACTAAGGGGCTGTAGATAGAAAATGGCAAAAAGGAATGGAGCAATCTGTTTTTCATGTTTATAATGCATAAAGTAAAAAGACCTGAGCTACAGCAAGGGATCTTCAGGTTAGCTAATATGTAAAACTTCCTAATGACAGGGATGTCAAAGCTCTGGAGGAGATTGTTAGGTTGATTATGGAAACTGCGTTTTACAAGGAAGTTGCATCCACTGACAGAAGTTATATATTTCTTTTAAGTGGATAAATATAATTCTTTGGAGATGCCATTGTAATACACAGGGTCTTAGAGGAAAGGACAAACAGCAGTTTAAGAAGAAAGGGGATCATGTGGGTCATGTTCATAGCTGTCTGTAAGAATAACCATTATATGATTTACTATATATCCCTATGCTGTGGCTTGGCTAATCTCTATTGCCTTGCTGTGTCAGACAGCTTCCCACCTCGTACAGAATGCTATTGCTGATGAAGTAAGTATGCAAATATGGAAGTGTGAAAACTGCTTTTCTATAAGCATTACTGTCAATATGACTTTGAATTTCATCAGAGTGTAAAAAAATACTCAAAGACAATCAAATGCCTTCATTTTAAAATATGGATGAGTGTGAACAAGCTTGGTTTTCATGTGGTATTTATGCATGCAGCAATAATTAATATGCAGCTGTGCCTGAGTAGTGGCATATCATTCCAAAAAAAGGTGATCTGTCTTTTGGATGTATATGCCAAAGGAAGCATAGTTAACTCACATTGACTTCAGACTTTTGCTGTGGTTTCTAGCAGGGACTGAAATAGAGAAATGAAAAATCAACCAATTAGGAATGCTGGTTGCAAAATTCATTTTCATTGTAAGCAAGGGGAAGTGTTTAGTTTATAAACTGTGGATGTAATCTGTGTTGTTATGAAATGCATCGTCTCCAATAAAAAGCTAAAGAGGAAGTGGACGTTAGCATCCTGAAGCTTGCATATTATATGGAAACGCCTTACTTTATACAGATGCTGGAAAAGAGAGCTTTCTTTTGTAATTCTAGAGCATTATGGAGATTTTTTTAAGCAGATGAGCAATTTAAAATGGTCCAAGATTTAATTTAGATAACTATAAAATAATATGCTTAAGAAATTATTATTTAATGCAAATACAAATGACAAAATCAGTTGTTTAAAGGATTTGCAAAGTAATAGTGAATCAGAGATTGGATATGTTCTAAGGTGATGCTCTATGTGAAGTCCACTCCTATCCTGATTTTTGCACACAGGCGGACAGCAGACACACATGGATGCACAAACTCTCTCTTTCTTTGTGAGAACGTGGGTAATAATTGCTGATGTACATGTGATTTCACTGCCATGCGTGGCAAGTATACCTGTATTAGGAATGTTAGTCTTTCTAAATATCAAGTCCCCTCTGTTTTCACTGCTTGCAGTATGTTGAAACTGGAGGTAAAGCAATAGCCATGTCACATGGATATAGGACAATATACTGCAATGCAGATGTGATTTACAAAATGGATATAATGGGCTTTAAGCCTGTGGTCCTTCCCACCCAGCTTTGCTGTGAACACTGGTGAAATTTTCTGGTTCTTGTGGGCCTAAGTTTTTATAGCCTGTACTCAGCAGACAGTGAACAATTATTACCCACCACCACGGTCTACTCACCAAAGATTGGTGTAGCTGGTTTTTGAGATGGGATTAAATTTGATTCCTGTAGGTACTGCATAGGAGAAATATTTTTCTAGCTGGTAATGAGGATATTTACAGCCACCTTTTATTTCTGGACTGCCTTTTCTGTGTCCCCTCCTCACCCCCTAATTTGCCCCCTCTTCTTTAAAATTTCTTTTTTTTTAACCTAGTCGGAAACCTCTGTGGTAAGTAGGTAAGAATTATAATTTCTGTCTTCTGCAGTCTCTAATTCACAATTCTTTATTTTTACAGTGGTTAAGAGACAGTAAACTCTCAGAAGAAATGTTAGCAACATTTACTTATATAAAGTCTCTTCCTGTGCCATTTTTGCTTAATTTGTTTGTGGACCTTCTTTAGGGCCTTGGACACTCTAGTTGCATTAATGAGTTACACAGCAGATGATCAGATTAAGGTTTTCCTTAAAAGTAAAAAATACCTATTTGAAGCAGGAAAACTTCATCGTTATTCAAGTAATTAATATCAAAATAAGCTGGCATAAGAACATCAAAGCTTGTAAAATAGGAGCAAAACCACTGTTATTTTGCAAAACAAAGCAGTAGTCAGCTAAAGGATTTTTGTGGCAAGTATGAAGAAAGTGCTTCAGTTTAAAAAAAAAAAAGCTCGTGAACGATCTACATGTATGGGATCCATTGAACTTTTACATTTGAAAGTGGAGAATGAAGCTTTTCCTCTGCAAAGATTTCTACAGAGTCAGATTCATGCTCTCTTCACCAGTCTGCAGATGTTATTCTATTTCTACATTGTAAGCTTCATGCTCCTGCAGAACTGTAGAAGAGCTGGGGATCAGATCGTCAAAAAGTCCTGCACAGCTCTTTTTGTAGGAGATTGTGTTATTTGCTGTTCCATTTTAAGTACTATTTTCTATGCTGCTTGGCTTGTTTATTTTGTTGCTCTCTTGTGGTCATGGAGACGTGTGCCTATCTATTCTTACTGGTTTTATCTTGCATCTCCAACTGTCCTATATAAAACTAACAGGTTGGACCCATACTGTTGGTCAGTATCTCACTATGATGGTGGCCAAGCTCTGTTTATAAAGATAAACAATACTGATAGCAGAAGAGACGACCCATTCATGCAGGGTGTCAAAAATAGTCAAAGGAAGAGCTGAAGAATCTTTCCTCTGCTAATTTATAAGCAAGATTCTTAGGTGAAGCAGATTGAAGAGGGTGCAGTGCCGTAGGATTACTCTATGGTTGTGCTAAGATAGTCCTCAAAATTGCCGGGTAGGTTTAAATATCTGCAGACTATTTCGTGCAGTGGTTTTCCCATAGAAGTACTTGCCTTTGAGAACTGTATACCAATTAGAAGGAAATTTCCCATGACTGTAGTGGTGCTTTACTGGAAGCAGTGCACTGTGCTCATTAAGTGTTTAGTGGAATTTTTGTTGTATTATTTCAGAAAAATTTCAGCATGGTGAATTAATGTGTATAAAGCCTTAGTAATGTGTTTCCTTAGCATTAAGGTTTGGAAGGTCTTTGCCTTATGCCTATGTAGTTCAGTAATTTTTCCAATTGAGTGATTTTTTTTGCAAACAAAATATATTCAGGATAAGAAGGATAGTCATGGTTCTTCACATAGTTTGAGAGTATACCTGTGTAGATGGCAGCACCTCGTTGTCCTATTGACATCCAAAGAAGGGAAACAGACAAAAGGAGAATGTGAAGATTATTTGAATTACCTTGGAGAGTAGTTAAGGAAATTTAATATCTATAGCTTGGCAAAAAATGTACCCAGAAGTTAGGATATCATAAGAGTCTACAAGTATTTGGAAGACAATTATGTATAGGAAAGAAAGGGGCGATAATATATAGTGGTTGAACAGCATCTCAGAGAGTAATGATTTGAAGACTGAATTTGACAAGTGAATCTAGAATGGCATGAAGTTTGTTGACTTCATTTCTCTGACAGAGAAGTGAAAGTGTAAATAGTATTAGAGTAAATCTGGTTCCTGCCATTTTGTTGTACCTTCGTGAGTGCGGGCACTTAAGTGAGAAAGAGAAGAAATAACCTTCCATCCCTGTCCCCTTCCTTCATCCATCCCTGCCGCCTTCCCTCCCTTTCTCCCTGTCTCCCTCCATCCCTTCCTCTATCCTGTGTTCTCTCTTCTGCTTGTTCTCTACACTGCCCCTCGACACACAATAAGCTTCTGTCTTATTGTGTTCGGCTTGAGACAAGAGCAGGTGTCCTAAAATGTGACAGGAGAACCTCACAAAGATGCAGCTAATTAAATACAAATTTTGGTTCTGGAAGAAACAGTTTTACTTATTCTGCAACAGTCAAATGGAGAAATCCTGTGCAATGATGTCCTTCCCATCTGTGAAGATGTGCTGCAGCAAAGGGAACTTTTTTAGGGAGAAAAAAAAAAAAAAAGAAAAAAAAAGAAAAGGATAACCTGCCCTGTATTCTGTAGGTGTATATATTTGAGAACTGTCAGGAACAAGCAGGTTTTCAAAGTATTTGAGATGGATCATGCCTTGTGAGTCAGTGTCTCAGTAACTTCTATTAAGCTAATTATGTGTCATTTTACTTTGTTTTACCTTAGCAATCTGTATGGCAGTTCCAGCCTTTCTATGGCCATACTGATTAAACGCCTTTTTTTTTTGATTATTGCTTTCAAAGTGATTCCATCACTTTATTTGTGACTAATACTTAAAATTTACTTTTCTTGAGCTTTTTGAGTTGTTTCTCTTTTCATTACTGTGTTCCTGTATTTTTCCTGTAAGAAAATGCAATACTTATAGCTAGTAGTTAGTAACCCAGTAATTAATTTCATTAGCAATTTACATATCCTTAAGATCATCTGAATAAAACTGACTTGTATCCAGTCAGTAAAGCTCACTTTTTTCAACACTATTTTTATTTTTAGGAATGTTGTCTCTGCAATTTGAGAGGTGGTGCATTAAAGCAAACTACTGACAAGAAGTAAGTAATATATGCTTTGGGATTGTGTGTGCTTGTTTCAAACTTTATTCCCAATCCATTCCCATGTACAAAGCATTTGTAAACCTAATTACTTGACAGTGTCCCTTTAAGCTGAATCACTGCAGAATTAAAATTACCCCTATTGAAATGTGCCAATGACATTTTGTGAAATAGTTAGGTGCTGAAATGTACATTTGTTTTAGTGTTTGCACATGCTTGTTCCAAATTTTATTCTGCTGGCCTTTGTGTAAAGAAAGTAAATGAGAGCTCATTTGTCATTGTTTGCATGGGCAAGTCTTGTCAAACAGCGAAGTGTATTTTCTCCTTTGGTCCTGAAAATTTGTGATTACAGAATTTAATACAATGTCTTTGAACTTCTGGAAACAGTATTTTTAAATAATTAATTTGAATCATGTTGAAATAATTTCAGTTTTTGAACTGTTATTTTAAATAGACTTCTATCATACACTGTAAAAAATAGTGTTGTTACTGGTATCATGCTGTTAACAGCGTCAATATTTTGCTCTGTATTTGGGTTACAGAACACTATAGCAAGTAGCCCTAACAGGTAAAATGTTGCAGCTTAGTAATTTTTCAAGCCCAGTAGTTGGAAAAGTCTTTATGCATTTTGAATCTTCTCATGATTCATTAATTTATTTTAGTAACTTAGCAGTATCGTGTAGATTGCTTGATTTAATCCTTTGGAATTCAGCGAAAAGAAGTGATCTAGCTGGAGCATTCTTTTCCACTTACCAGGCAAGAATTTATTTATCAATGATTTTGCAATTGGTTGCATGACCCTTGTAAATTGTCCAGTTAGAAAAAGGTTTTATGTGAAAGCCACTGGCCAGATCTTACCTTCAGAAAGATTAAAAATGTAACTGTTTTAATTGAAGTTTTGACCAACAAGTGATAATTCTCAGCTGCTGTTTAGTTGTGCTTTTATCATCTGAATTTGCTACTTGCTTTTCTCACAAAAAAAGGAAAATGACAGAAGTGTCCTCTCGGTAGAATTTATTATGCCCTTTTTATATTTGCTGCTGATAGATTGCGTGTTGCATCTTTGAAAATACATACATCTTTTTTGTAGATAAATTAAAATGTTGTAGAAATGTTTCTGAAGATTTATTAATACAAAAAAATCCACAGAGGTTTGCAGACAGTGGCTTTCTCTGCATGACTCTACCTAAAGTCTTTGTTTTTGCATTATATCGCTCTGTAGGTTTCTGTTACGAATTTATGAAATGAGAATTCTGTAAAAGTATTTCAACTCTTGTTTTCCTGTTTCCATGACACCTTACATTTGCTACACATTGTTGAGTCTTTTATCTGTCTTTCAGCATTAGCTACCATTCCAAACTTTTGAGAGTTTTTGGAAGGGTATGTTCCAAGTCTGTCTTTTTTTTCCTCCAAGTGTAAAATCCAAAATGTGCATCTTTCCCTCTCACATACTGATTAGAGATACAGGATGAGCATTACTGAGATTTAAAAGCTAGTGAATCAAACATGGTGGTGGGGGTAACAATTTGCCGTATAGGAGAACTGAGATTCTTTCTTTTCAGCAGAACACAACAATTGTTTTGAGTCCTGTTAGGTTGAGAGGTGTCAGAGTACAAAGGTTTGGGTGAAGATTTATTGAAGAGGTGTTTTATTTACAGCATTTCTGTTCCATAAAGCTTAGATGGTAAGACAATGTAGTTTTGCAGGCGGGCAGACAGCAATGAAAGGAAAAAGAGTGTTATTAAAAGTTAAAAGAAAGTCTCAAAACAAGATTTTTTTCTGCAAGTTAAAACGTAAACAAGACTGTCATAATAGTAAAATAATAGATCTACAAGCTTTATCTACTTTTATTTGGGCTGAGCTGTATAACTTGCTAATTGATATGTCATCTTTACATATAGCTCTTATTTCACGCTTTGGTCAATACAACTTTAATGTCACGGCACAGCAGGTTGTTTCATCCCTGTGTGTCATGTTACTCTTTTCCAGATATTTTTGTCAAAGGTGAGTTATTGAAATAGCACCATTCTGGTGCAGGAAAGAGAAATTATGTCTGTTCTGCTGCATCGCACTCTTACCTGTTTTAGCTTCAGCTCTCATTCGTGTGAATCTGCTAAGACGCCCGTATAATGTGTGTCTCTGGAGATCTACAGAAGGTGGAGTGAGGCAAGCATTCAGGGCTTACAAAAAAGAGCAAAAGGCGTAGTGAGACAGGATGTACAGTGAATGTCAGGGAATAAGGCAAATATGAGTCGAGGAATGGAAATGTTTCCCTTTCTTCAGATTTACGAGTTGTCTACACCAAAAAAGGTTTTAGAAGTAGTGTCAGAAGGCTACTCTTGGTTAATAAAAATGTCCTTAGCTTCTGTTTTACTTCAAATGATACGCACTTTCAAAATTAATTGCAGAATTTTTTAGTTTTATTTAGCTTTCCTTATTTTGAGATTTATATATTGAACCAGCATTTGGAAGATCCAGCAGCGCTTTCTGATGCATATAAGAAGCACATAGCATCATCTAACAAGCTTCCTGAAGTTGCACTGAAGTCTCAACGTGTAGCCTGGTCCTTGGCACTTGGCAGGTGCTTTCACTGCTAAATGGGATCCAGTTCATGTTGGGCATTACAGTGATAGCCTGATCAGTTTGCTGCTTGTATGCTGTTGTGCCTGTAAACAGAAGGTGTTGATAGTGTACTTTGTTTTACACTTTGATAGATGTATGACAGATTGTCGTCATGTGTGTTGGCTAAGAAAAGTTACTTGGGTCTGAGTAATGTTAAGCCAAAAAGCTGTAGGTGATAAATTGCACATGAATCAAATAGTGCGATCTTTACATATGCACCTGGATAGCACTAACTACAAAACCTTTGTGCTTAACCAAATGAACCTGGAAGATGCTTAAAAAAAAGTTGCAAGAGAGCCACAGTCGGAAATTATATTTACACAAAGTGGTAGTGTTGTAAGATTTGTTAAATATGCTTCAGAGAAGCTCAGGAAGTCCTAATAAGGAAGTATCTAGAGATGGTTGCATTTAAAAAAAAAACAAACCTGCACAGAGCAAGTAACGAAACATCTTAAACACTTGTATTTCTATGTGGTTTTTTTTGGTGGTATTCTTGACTTGCCACTTTTCACAGGTGGGCACATGTAATATGTGCAATTGCCATCCCAGAAGTCAGATTTGGTAATGTCAGAGAACGTACACCGATAGACACTAGCAGAATACCTTTGCAAAGATTAAAATTGGTGAGTAGTATATTCATATATGCTTCATGTATTCTTTGTTATTAAGGTGTTCCAATTCTTGCAATGTATTAAAAATCTGAATTGTGACGGTTATTGCCAGGTACAGAGCAGTAAACTATGTTTAAGGTAAGGGATAAATAACCAGGGTTTTATCAAGATTGACTTTTTGACATGTAATGGCAATTCATTAACACTGTTTACAGCCTTTGGTGTTTTATTAAAAGAAGTTTGAACCTCCCCTCCTCCAAAAGAAGAACAGCAAAATTGACCAGTGTCAACCATGAAAGTTTCAGTTTTGGAAATGTATGGGTGATTAAAGTGTTGAAACCCAGACAGACTGGGAATATCACACAGTACATGTTTGTGAGGTCTTTTTATTATGTATTTTTGCCTCAAGAAACTATGAAGGTAAAAGGACGTATGATCTGTTTGTTACATGGTATCTCTACCATCTGAATGTTGAAAAATATTCACAAAACAGACCACGCATTATATTGGATGAAAAAAATTGCGTTTCCTGAGGAATTTCAAAAGCTGGTGGGAAACATAAATAAAAATGCATCAGCTACTAACAGTTGCACCCTGTGTTACATCTAGAATAACAGTGTCATTCAAGATGGTTGACATACACAAGCAGAAGATACGCATAAGTGCGATATAAGAGTATTTTCCTTGCTGTGTTACATGAGAGTTACTTAATTTGTCAGCCGGTGCATCATTGTGATGTCATCTGATAGAAAGGCAGTGATTAGCAGCCCATTCAAAATCTTAGGGAAAAGTTACCATCAGTTTTCTGGATTTGCCCTACACTATTTCCAAAGTGGTTCTAAATCTGCCTGACCTTGTAGTTGCTCATTTTGAACTATTAGTATTTTCATTACGTTTTCATTTAATTCATTATTTTTGTGTGTTTTGTAGCTGTATTTCTAAATGTGGAGATACAACTTTGAGTGGTTTAAATTGATAACCTGTCCTTCAAATGGTGATCCATTCTAAATTTTCGTTCAAAATTTAAACATCTTACTTTTCACATGTCCTTGTAAAAATAACATGAAACACATTTGGAAACAGTATATATGACTTATTATAAAATTTGTTCTTCCTAATCTGATAAAAACTCCACAGTAGAAGCCCTGAGAATTAATTAGATCTGTTGGTTTCTATTTTTTGAGGATCTTAAACAGTCACAGATATGCATCTGGTTGGAAATTGTGAATTCAGGAGTTGAAAATTTACCAGATGTTGAAATACATTCTCTTGGCTGTCCATGACTTGAACTGTGTAAGAGTAACAGAAGCCTTTTGGAGAAGGCTTGAATTAGTTTTAAATTATTGATTATGAAGATAGGAAGCCAAAATTTGTGAAGTTGTATGATTTATAATTTGTGGGTAATTTCTGCTGAGTATGAAGCAATTATGTTAAGCAGTTATTTATAACTGAGAGGTTTTTCTTCTATTCTTTCCTTCAGTTCATAGAAGATTGCTTGCAGTCCTTAGTGCTTTTTCAGTTCTTGAAGCCTCCTTCAATGTAAAATGTCATTTAAGCAGTACAGATTGTATTAAGCTGTATATACCCTTTTAGTCTCCTGTGAGTCCCCCAATGTTTAGAAATCTAGTACTTGCTTTCCTTAACGCTGTTTTTTGAAGCAGAGGAGTTTATATATTTGGGTGGAATGAATGTTGTGATGAAGGAACTCAGCTGTATTCAATAAAAATAAGAGGCAGCGTGCTTTATAACAGCCATAAATGTAGTATTGCTGCAGGTAGTGGACAGCCTTACTGTGAGGGAAGGAAGCACTATAATCCTGGTGTGGCTCATTAAACCTTACTTTTCCAAGACTTAGTTTCTGACATTGAATTTATAATGAAACACCTAGGCTTGTACTAATTTAAGGGAAGTAGGCAGTTTGACCATTTCAAAAGGTTCTATAATGATTTAATGTCAATAGACCAATGAAGTGCTGCTGCTTGGGTAAAGGAGCAGAGAAAAATCTGCTCTAAACCCACCAGCAGCCTGTCTGCTTTTAAATTTTGGCTTTTGTTGCAAATAAGTTGCTGTATCTGATGGTTTTAATCTGCTCTGTTTCACAGCCTGGCTAAACTAAGTCTCCTGAGTAACGTGGTAGCATTATGTATTACTCTGAGGCCCTGTGTGTTAGACACTTCTAGTAAATAATTTCTCATGTTTCCTGAAACATGGAGTTCCTTCTTCTCTGAAGAGGTTGCTGTGAATAACCTTGTGTATATATGCCACAACATTCTCAAATAAAATATGATCCTTATGTTAGTCTTCACTTTCTGACTGTTGATGCTGCAGAATAGCAATGCTATGCTCTCATACCCACTGACAATGGGTTCCCCCTCTTCCCCCCCCCCCCCCCTGGTCTCACTTTTCTTCTTATCTTTCATGCCTCTCCATTGTCATATACTCTGTACTTTGGAGTAGACAGCTGATACCATCTGTCTTGCTGTTAAGTTCTGTAAAAGCCTACTGAGTGATTCACACTTTGACGTTAGTTCTGCGAATCTGTGAGCAATTGATTCAGGCCAGTTTTCCCCATTTGAAATTGTAGGGATTGCCAATAGTACTCTTCAGTAGCCAATTCCTGCTTCACAGCTATCCTGTTTGCTAGGTTAGAGTGTCTTTGTTCATCACTCTCCATTATTCAAAGCCAGAGAGTGTTCATTGTATAAGCAAAGGCAAGTTTTGTATGTTGTTTGTTGATACTGAGCCCTCACAAGCAACAAATTTTTTTAAAATACATTTATGGGCCTATCTTTGTCATACTCTTTATGTTAAAGTGTGGGATAGCTAATAAATGTGAGCTGTCCTACTATGCCACCTCTCCTTTACAAAACTTGGGATGTGTTTTTTTTCAAGTTTTTTAAATGAGGAGAAAACAGTGGAAAAAATATAAAAGGATAGATTGTATTCTAGCATGCAACCGTACCAGAACTAGACCGTACAATGTAGGAGCAAATGGTTCTTGTTGTTTCAAACATTCCTCTTTCTATCCTTATCCTCCCCCTTCCTCCCGCAGAACATCTACTGTTTTAAGAGATCTGTAGAGGTGGAGCTGACATTTTCTTTTATGTAGCATCTACAAAGGAATATCAAAGGAAATAAAAAGTAAATGTTTTGTTTTTGACAAATAACATCTGTGCAAACATGAATGTACTGGTAGGCTGTTTTTTACTGCTTAGCTAGTATATATACTGATTCTGTTAAATAGTTTTAATTCACTAGACATTTTGTGTGGGAATCAGTGTTTCCTGTCAATCTTTTCTTATTAAGTATTCAGTTTATACCAATTTCTTCCAGAGTAAAACTCAGTATTTGTATTATGCTTACAGTAGCTCGTAGATTTAAAATTGCTTGATGTTTCGTGCTTGCAAGTTAGTGGGGTTTTATAGAAGGACAAAATATTTTCATATTTCCCTAGCTTTTTTCAATGGGTTAAGTGCCCTGTTCCATCATTGCTCAAAATTTACATGACAGTGAAATGTTTGTTAAAAATTAATTATGTGGAATATTGTTGCTTAATGCTAGTGGATGAAAACAGTGTAAGTCAATTAATAGAAAATTTTGGTGCTTTGTCTTTCATGGAGAGTGTGTTACACTTACATTTTAAGCGTGTACACCCATGATATTGATAGGCTCTAGCTGACTTTTCATGTAAAAGCAAAATGCTTCCCAGGCAACCTCAGTGTAGAAAGCATCCCACAAAAACTCTATAATGTGTAGTTTCTCTGCTTTACCTCTCTGTGACTATACCTTTTCTCTTTTTTTGAAACGTATGTGAATGGGATAATGAGATTGTCCTGGTCTGTTTTGTCAGAGAGTGAGACTTTCTTCCTTTATTTTAGATTCAGCCTGGATGGTCACATCCATCAGACACTTTGAGTTTGAGTAGCCATATGGAATGACAATTTGTGATTATCAAGCTAAAAACCAAAGATGTTGAATTCACATGTTTATGCACAGTTTTTAAAATGAAAAGGCTGGAGGGGTATGCCTTACCATATCACAAATTTTAAAACAATATTTTGCATAAACTACAGTATTCTAGCTGCTTTGTAGACACTTCCTTCAGATGTTCTCTGTTCCACTGGTCTCCAAGTTTAACAGCAGACATGAGCAAGCATGAGAAGACAGGAAATACACAAAAGCCAACTTAAATACTGTTTAAACACAGTGATAATGTTAGGAGCAGATAAAAGGGGGGTAAAGTTAGTGAGAAGTGATGGTATGGAAGGGCTCCACATGAAATATGTCTAAATGTATATGCAGAGTTTCAGCTGGTGACAATTTGGAACAAGGGAGTGATTTGGAGGAGAGTACATTCCATGAATGAGTGTGGTGTCAGCTTCCATCCCAACACAGTTTAACAGCATCTGACAGTTTCCCCAGAGCAGATAAAGGTTAGGTTTCTTGCTGAGTTTAGCTTTATTTATTTCATTTATTTTATTTTTGCCTTGTTCCATTTGTCCTGAAGTCTCCAAGAGAAGCTTGGATGTAAACTCCTGCTTTTGAAAACCTGTTTTCCTTGACTCTTTACATGTGTGAGGCTTCAGGACATAGAAAAAAAGCTGTGAATTCCTGTGTGTGTCAAAGTCAATGATAAAACTTGATTTTACTTTGGGAATGGAAAAGCTTTTCCCCAAGTACCTAGATGGTCTCTGCTTTCAAAAGAGTGTTAATTACTCAGCTCTAATTATAAATATGATCTATAGTTGCATGAAAAAGTCTCTGTAGATGAAAAAATCACTGACCTTTCAAACATAAATTCAGCCTTTAAAAGAAAGAAGTAGTACTCTCTTGTCTGTCATTCTATTTTAATAAAACATAGGAGTTAAAAATATAATTAAATGAAAGCACTTACTATTATATGGCCAAGGAATCCAAGCCAACAGGAATAATGAGCCTAGTGTCACTTACCCTTTTCAGACGTGTGACTTATAATCAAGAGTAGACATTGTAAATGGGAGTGTTTAAATGTT